ATATATATATATATATATTTATAAATATACAACTATTCATAATACATCTCAACATAACAAGGTTATTTGTCTGCGTAACCGAAGAGTGAACAACTGTTACATTTTATTCTTTTCATTTGACAAAAAAATTATTTGGATCACTCTTGTTACTTCATCTAATTGTCAAAATTAATATTATATTGTACTGGTTAACTACTGTATGTGTACGCACAAGTTGCATCAATTCGCTTCACTTTATAAGAATTCTTGTTTCTTTGTGGTCCGTAAACTGGGATGAAGCTAAGAAATCTCATTGTGATGTTGGATGATTGGCACCAATGTTAGTTGATGCACTACTTGTACTAAATTAGAACTATATTAATATCGTTGAGAATGACTTGAAATAAGTCGAAACACGTACGAATTTTATACCAACTTTTTATATCGTTATACTTTACATTAAAAACTACTTTCTCTTACATTTTAGTCTTTATATTGTTAAATATCAAGAAGTTCTTCGACATTAATTGTTATTCTTATTATTGTTATTTTATAATTATTTTTATTAAAATAAAATTATTGGGATAGAAAGAAGAGAGAGAGGAAAGAAGTAAAACACAATAAGATTTAAGCCTTTCCAATTTATAACGGAATATATTATTTGTAAATCTAATACATATTTTATATACAATATAATATTATTATGGAAATAAAAATTAATTATGTTTTTATTACTATACATTCTTTCATTTTACGGGACATTCGTAGCACAAAATATCGCAGTATAAATATTTTATTATATATACTTTGGCGTGTATGGCGATCGTGGCATGGAGAGTTGCATGGCTGCTCTTTATGCCAAAGATCCAAATTCAAATCCTATTACACCCAGAATACACATTTATAAATTTTATTTGATCGTACCCTTTCGAAAGGCAATGACAAATCACCAAGAATATCTTGGCCATGACAACCTTTTCTAAAGACTATTTGGAACCGTAAAAACTGTAGATCCCGTATAAGTGGATATATTGGACTAGATGCATTACATATACATATTAATAATTACAATAAATTAATGGCGCGGAAATATACAGTAATGTTACAATGATTCTAAAAAAATAGTTAGATATAGTATCAAAATATTCTCTTCCTTATTACTATCTATTTCTTTCATGAACTTATATAACGATCAAATAAATATTAAAATAAAAATAATATTTACTGTTTCTCTGATAATTCGCAATTCTCACAAAATAGATAACAAATTTATGTTATTGCCGATGCGGTGGAGGACAAATACATTCGTCGTCTAAGTGATCTTTAAGCCATCCAATATAATTTGTTAGTTTCGTAAATATTCCAGGGAAATATGGTCTTCCACAACCACGTCCCCAAGAAACTAGACCTAAAAAGAAACATAAAAGTATATATTTTTATTTGACCTTTATAAATATAAGACGACTGTATTTCTTTGTTTAACTATACTCAGAAAAAAATTATTTTAATTTTAAAATTAAATTTTAAAAGTTTGAAATTACAAATATATAAAATAACATTTTAATTTATTATTATTAAATACATACCTACTACTTCAAGCTGTCCATAAATTCCTTTAACGTGTAAAGGACCACCGCTATCGCCCTTAAAACAAAAGAAAAATGAAAAATATATTCAGAAATAGTATACGAAAAAATAGTCTATTTTATTCTTTGAAAAAGACATATTTAAATTATTGTTTATTATATTGATAGTTAATACGATAATGTAATAAATTAAACCACGTCATATTAATTTACATATAATATTGAATACTAAAAATTTTATTAACGAGATCTTAAAGACAATATCCGTTAATATTGTAAATAATTTACACACGCCTACACATATGCATATGTACACATGTTTTTTATGCACTAAAGATATTTCTAATTCAAGAACATCATTTGTTTTTATTTATTTCAAACTGTGTATTAATTCTTACAAAACAAGCGTCTCGTCCTACTGTTCCCTCCGGATGTAGTATGTAGCCGGCACAAAACATATTTTCGGTGATACGATCCTTTGCATATCCAGCTTGATCGCATTCCTCTTGTGATAAGATTGGCAGATTGACTTTTCGCAATTCGTTACTTACCGGCTTGGTTTCTCCTGTTCGGCCCCATCCCACTGCAGTAGCGAGCGCTCCGGTATAGTCAATTGTTTCTGTAATATTCAAATTCGAATTAATATCTATTACGACCGATTGCATTAACATAAATTCTATTAAAATTAAATCTGTTATTTAAATATTTAAACATAATATTAGAATTTAAAAACGTATAATAAATTTTTACTTGTTCCAATGAAGAGAATTCCCTATTAATAATTAATAGCGCTCTCGCAATTTATTGATTATTATTTTGCAGACAATAATTAATTTAGATGTCAATTAAGTAAATAACAATATACAAAACATAACAATGCACATACATGTTTGTGTGTAATAATTAATTTCTGAGAAAAACGTATCACATAAAAGGAAAGATTGAGAATGATTGAGAATCAGTGAAACTTAAATGTTAAACTTTTAGTAAATGTAATATTATATTAGAAAATACTTTGTTGATGTTAAAAGTAACTTACTGCTTTCCGGTAAACATGCTGTTCGTACAATACCATTCACAGATACGGGTTCATCCATCTCTATGATTGCAATATCATTATTAAAAGTATAACTATGGAAATTCTCATGAATAGTTGCCGATTTAATACGTCGAACTATAGCGTTTCTGCTTATCGAGGAACGATCGCTATCCATCAAAACAAGCTTGATGGTTTTAATATCAAATCTGAAAATAGTTTTAATTATGTAGATATATTGTAATATAATTCTGGAATTATTAAATATACGATTGTAATTGCTTGACATATACCCTTGCAAGCAATGAGCCGCAGTAAGTACGTGCTTTCGTGTTATTACACTTCCAGCACAATAAAATGTGCCCTTTTTACTCATACTAACAAGCCAAGGGTATTCATAAACGCTAGTAATATTGCCACCAACAATTCTCGTTTTTCTCCCAAGCCCGCAAACTGTAATGCGTTAATACATGAATGTAACTTGAATAATCAATACAATCGGACAGCTTTATTTGATACACGCTAATTATTTACAATGATGCAAAACTAAGGGTTTTTATTTAAAAGGTTTTTATTTAAAAGAATAATCTTATTAAATCGAATCTTTTAATGTCTTGTACATTATGTAAAAACAAAATTACAAAAATGAAAATAATATTTTTATTACTTTAATACGTAAGTTTTGTAGCATCAAATGTATAAAAGTATGCAAAGAAGAATATATTTTAATGCTATATTTTTATTTTATATGACAATTTTATATTACTACAATGTATGGATGCTTTTCATATACACGATATATATTTACTAATTCCATTAATTTACACTCAAATTGTTATATATTTACTAATTCCATTAATTCACATTAAAATGAAATTACGCTTATTATGTTGTACATGTAATAGAAACAGATTATTATCGAAGTTGGAACATGCATGATTATACCTATTGTTGTTATAATATAAGAAAATAAAAGATTTACGAGTATTTATGTTTATGTTCTTATAATGTTCTCTATGTGTTTCTTGTGTAGACTTCTAATTAAATGCATAATTAAACATTAATTCAGATATTTTCATTTACCGCAATCATTGCAAACGTTTGGCTTTTTGGAAGGGAATGTAAGCGCAGGCTCAAAATCGACGTAAGACACCTCATCTATTGTCGAAGGATCAACTTCTGCATTTGTAATATTATAGTGTACTTGAGCATTTGAAGTAGGCAAATCCCGTCCATTGTTTGATAATGTCTATAAAGGAGAGAATATATGAGCACAGATATTTCAAAATTATGAATTCTGTATGTTTTTTTCTTTTGTAAATATCGTATGTCATGATGAAATTATAACATATTGACAATTTATTGCAATAATATTTTGTTCATAACATTTTCGAAAAGAAAAAATATTATTTATGGATTATTTGTACTTTTGCAGAAATGTAAAGAGAAAATAAGAATAAATTATATGAAGGTTAGTAGTCTATTAATGAGTAAACCAGAGTGTTCTTCCTTAACGAGTAAATTTTACGGATATGAAACTTAATATATTTATGGAACGTAATTAAAAATTTTATTGTTTTTTTAAGTTTATTTAAGTGCAAATTTAAACTAAACGAAAACAAGATATTGTCATTGCTACAATTACATTAACGTCTTCTCATAAACGTTGTCCATTTAAATAATAATTGCTTAACTTACCACACGAGGCAATGCATAACAACAACCCAGACAGAGAAACAGCACAGGAATGTATTTCGTTCTTGCATAATCATCCATGTTGTTCACGTGCGGTTTCCAGTTTAATTAATCCTTGCCAATATGCGTAACTTATTTGTTGTTGGAAAATTCGGATCCACGCACGTGCTTACACCGGTACCGTGAAAAGTCTAAAAGTATCTCGGCCGTTTTGCCGTTTTATAGTAAATTATAACTAATGAAAAAGCCCAGCGACGTGTCTCGGTGGGGATCGTCAACCTTGAGTGGTGCGTTTGCATTGGCAGATGTTGCATGTGACAGCCTTTAAATCACCCGGTCGGTCGGTGTACGCGCCCGTTGTCTCACCTGCACAAGTACCGCCTCGAGTACAAGCACAATGAGAGTTTGCGCGTGTACGTATAAGCGTCAGTCTGTGGCGCAATTGACCATCGGCCACCACGAACGTCCAATGTCAACCCGGTCCTCCTCCTCTCACAGCGACCCTTCATTTCAGGGATCCACCGAGACTGGATCAATGTCAATTTCGTCAGCGGATGAACGCGAATGCCACCGCGCCCCACGGCCGTTCCGATTCACTGTCGCGGTATGATAACTACTTCAACAGTGTCAGCGACAACGACGATGACGATAATGACGTCGTTGATAATGATGATGATGATGATGATGATGATGATAATGAAGGCGATGGATTATTACAATGATGAACGGGTGTTGCTAATAAATTACGCGAGCAAAATAATTGCAAGAATCTCACTCGTTACTTTATTATGTTGCGTGCGAAATGCCGAGATTCTTATTTTTATCATTGTTCCACGTGACACTTTCTACAAATACGCATTCATTGAGCAAATTGGTAGCGCTTTTTTTCTAGAAGAAAGTGCAATTTACAATATAATTTTTTTATGTGCAAGTGCTCGGCGTGAAGACTATTAATTACGATTATACACGATGAGACAATATCTCCTGATACGTACAATAATAAACTTTGCAATCAGTTGTGTATGCTTAGGAATAGTAATCAAAAAGGTAATTTAAAAAAATTCAGATTTATACAATTTTACAATATAGATTCGGTATCAGAAAAGAGTAAACGTAATGTAATAATTGTTTTTATTTAACCTTGCGTGTCACACTATAGAAACAACATTACATACTTAAATATGATATACCAAACTTAAAGCCTATGGCACATATAAAAACGTAAGACAAGACGTAAGCAATAAGCAAATTAGTCAATCACAGTAGAGACCGTAAGGCCAGTAGCGAATTCAATGTTACAGTTTCCTTACTACTTACTTACATCTTACTTACATTTTTATATGTGGGTTTAATTCAACTTATAACTTTTATAAAAATAAACATATTCTAAAGAATTTTTTTTCTCAACCGAAATGCCAGATATTAAGGAACATAATGTCGTGCATCAAGCCAATGTATTATATCTATATTAATAAGAAAATTATAAGCAATGCAAAAAGTAATCGAAAAAGTATTGAAATAATACCAGAGAAAGAAGCTGCAGAGTGGCATCGAATTATTAAATATATATAATTAAAATATAAATTTTATTGAATGTCTCTTAGGACCTAAACAATACAAAGTTTAAAATTGTGACATAAGACGTCTTTAAGTCGTCTTTTTGACGCAAAAAATCTTATGACCCGATTTTAGATATTTTTGCTGTCTGGGAAGTTTCTAATATTTGCTCAATATATCATGATGTTTTGTTGTGGTTATAATCAAGTCGATAAATGTAATAATGGTTTGTTCAATTTCAATGCGCTAGAACAAACTTGCAGCGTGAAAGGAAGAAGTTATACAATTTTCTTGGACTCTATTAAGATTGTGGTTACAATCATAAAAATATTATGAGTTTGTGAGCTAATAAAACGTTTGCGGCTTTTCAAAGATTTTTAATCATCTAGAATAAAGGGATTTGTGCAGCAAATGCAATAAGCGATATAAACATGCAAGAAGACCTCCAATTAAAAGTGTCGCAATTTCCTCTACATAAAACTGAATTGATTCCACATTATTATTTAAACTTACATACATATCAAGACAGGTAAAACATCGTATGTTGCAATTTATTAACTTACAGATAATTTTACTTACATGTAATCTTCAGTCAACGTCAAAATTGCAGCCAAATTTGAGATAGGTCTCAAAAAATCAGTATTACGCGTTTCTTTGAAACTTATAAAAGTGTCAAACAAGCCGTCAAACTCTTTAATCACATTAGACTCATTAAATTTATAAGGATTATATTTATTTTTTCTTTTGTTAACATCAGATACAATACTTGTGTAATAAAAATATACATCAAGCTTAACTTTTTATCTTTATATTTTATTTGTTTTACTTGCCATATAGGTACGTGGCTAAGTCGAAAGTAACTTCAATTCTTACTTAATTGTGAGAGCAAAATTAACATTAACTTATTGACTTATTTATTATAGAATATGCATAAAGTTCTACACAAGTAGAAGCTATATCTTTAAAATAATTAGACAAGGAAAGAAATGTTAAAAATAATATAATTTTTTAATTTTTTCTTGAGATGTTATATATATTTATATATAACGTACATATTACATTTACATCTTGAATTGTAATTTTTAAATTGCAATTAAATACGTATCATGATGACTATTAATATTCTATATATTTCTTCCTCTGTTTTTCTCGCGCGCGCGTGCGCGTGTGTGTGTGTGTGTGTGTGTGTATCTGTATTATTTAAACAATTACCTTAATATAATCATGAAGAATTTCACTTCTTTATTATAATTTTTAATGGCTCTTTTGCTATGTTATTTTTACAATCTGAAACTTTACCTAAGAATTACGTACTACTTAGATATTATCTGAGACAACAAATTTCTGCCCGTGAAAAGATTACATCGTAGATTTGACCCTGAAGATACGTGAAAATAAAGCAAGGCTTCTGATAAAGTTAGACATCGAGACAATAAGGTAATACGTCTCGCCCGCATGAGGGTCTCGTTACCTATATACCTTGACCCACTGTTACAGGTTACAGGTGGTGTACAATCTGTTGCCCTGCCGCTCATCTTATCTCGTTTGTTCAGCAATAATTGAAGTTGATAAGTCAGATCAGACGGAGAAGTGCCGATAAAGACAAAGATGGGGACCTGTCAAAAAATCTGTCATTTTCCATATCACTTGGAATATTATGAATACGTCACTGTACACAATATGAAACGCGCGCTTATGTCATGCTAAAGATTTGTAAAAGTGTATCTTTAAGTAAATCAGAATGCTTAAATTACAATGAGATTTATTTAAACTTTCAAATTTACGTTTTTGAAAGTAAGATGTATAATGTACGAGATACTCTTTATTTATGCAATAATATACATACATTTATTCTTGTATATACAAACCTTAATGGCACACTTCATTCGAGGGACATTCTGGTAAACGTTCTTAGGACATATCCTCTGAATGTTGATTGGAACGTCCCTTGAAGATCTGTGTTAGGGAAAAAACATTGATTTTTATATGTTTTTATTTAAAAACTAATTTGTAATATATATGTAATTTCTCAGATCATTCCACTATTATTGCAATAACATTACAAACGTTGCAGCAATATTGCTGCCAGCTTTTTTATTGTATCTGTTACAATCACTACACTTTATTTTTTTTTATCTACAAAAAAACGCACTTATTAATTCCATAACAAAGTTCTCTTTGAACGTACGTCTTAAATATTTAATAAATATTGCATTTGTTTTATATTTAAATCTAAAGAATCTTGATAGAAAATACATTTTTTTATAAACATTGCACATAGAAAAAGGATTTAATAATGTCAGCTAAATATTAGTTGCTGGTTCAAACTTTGCTGTTGTTGATAAAAATTGGCTATTGAAGATAAAATACATTTACTGACGACGTTTATTAGTTAAAATTAGAAGCGTACTTAACTGAGTAGCTAAGTAAGTGGCAGCTATTCGTCACTATTTTAACCGCGTAACCGAACATTCCATTTGCAATTGTTTCTGAGACGCTGCCGGTTGCTATTTTATTTTAGCAGAGAATATTTTTTGCTGCAGCATCTAAATTTTAGCAGTTAATAAATTGAGCTTTGGCAGCAACAATATTAGCTGTCCCTATATAAGGGCACTACTATAGCTATATTTTAGCTGCGTTGACTAATCTTTTCTCTGCGTGTGTTAATTATTTTATTTACGATTTAAAAAAATAATAAAAATGTGGAATGTGCAAAAATAGTGAACAATTTTTCTATAATTTCTATATTATAGCTAATAAATTAATTCTAACTACGACATTCACTTTTGTCCTTTCTTTATTTTAAAAAGAGAAATCATAGGAGAAAGAGAAAAAGGAATTATTTGAAAGATATAACATCTTTAACGAACTTTTAATAGATTTCTTACATGCTTATATTTTTTTGTGATGAATTTACATACCAGTAGCCTAAATTTTCACTTCTGCTACCGGCTTGTCCACTATTCCATATAAATAAAGACGTGACACCAAATCGACGGTTTGTGTGAAAGTATAAGCTGCTTCGGCAGGAAGTGCGCTGTGGATCAGATCGTTTTGATACTTCTTTCAGTGCACAGTAAGAAATAACGTACAGTAGTGCTAAATTTTTAAGTGCTAAAAATAATGCTGTTACGATTTCTATTATTATTAACTCTTGTCGTAGTGGCAATAACAGTCAGCGTTAATAATGAGGTATCATCGATGTGCTGATTATGTGTTGATGATGTAGTGTTTTTGCACATTTACGATTACTTACATATAGATAAATTATTTTTAAACTAATTTATTATTTACAAAATAAAATACGCGAAAGAATATATTAAAAGTAATATGTATATAGAAATAAACGTAGAAACTCTCAGATTTGTCGTATTTTTTAATTTTATGTACTTTTTAACAAATTATTTTTTTAAATAAATAATTCATTAATACTTCAAAATTTTTTAATATTTAAAATTAAGTATCTTTATAGTTAATTTGTATATTTTGCATTAAAATATTTTTTACTATAAGTTTTATAGATGCAGTTAATAATTAATCTAAAAAACTTTTATTAACTTCTATGTGATATGAATATTATTTAATCTATTGTATATATATATAATATAAAAAAATATACTTTAAATTCTAGTTACAATCAAACTTAACTATACGTGTGGAGGAGCAAAATTCGAATAGCACAAGTGGAGTTGATAATGATAAAGGATTTTGGGAATGGCTGTTTGGTTCAGTAACACCACACCCATCAACAAATACAGAACTGCAGCAACCAGAAGAGTGTTTAAAATGCAGTATGTTTAAATTTAAATTTATAATTTTTTGTTAATATTTATGTTTTTAGGTATTCTTACACCATAAATGACAATTATAATTCCTGTCGATTATTTTATATTCTTACACAACGCGCGCGCGCGTGTGTGTGTGTATTCTTTATGTGTACATTTTTATTTCAAGTAATTTTTTATATAACAGTTTAAATACAGCCAATTACAGATTTAGACATCCACTTATTCATGAATCACGTGTGCAATAATATTAGTAAATGTGTACTATAGAGTGTAGAGTAAACGTAAAACGTATTACGTTTAAACGTAATCTGTAATTGATCATATTTAAATCCTTATTATTTCACAAACTATTATTTAAAATACAAATTTACCATAACCTTTTTACTTAATTTTAAAAAAATTTTTTTAGATTCTTAAATGGTACTTTGGCTTATGAATTTTGGGACTCCCTATATATTTTAATAAGATATTATTGGAGAAAAAGAAGAAAACTTTATATTTATGTGTATAAAACGTATATATATATTACATATGAAATAATAAGACACTGATTCATTATTTATAGCTTGTGGTTTAACAAATAAACACAATCGTATTGTTGGAGGCGTCGAGACGCTTGTCAATCAATATCCTTGGATGGTCTTATTGTTGTACAAAGGACAATTTTATTGTGGAGGTACAATTATAAATTCACAACATGTACTAACGGCTGCTCATTGTGTTGACAGGTGAACTGTTTATGTCAATTTTATATATGTATACGCAATTAATATGTATGCATATGCAAAACGCTAAAATAATCAGATTTTTATTTACAGATTTGATACACATAAATTAATTGCTCGAATATTGGAACACGACTGGAACTCAACCAGTGAAAGTAAAACGCAGGATTTTCAAATAGAAAAAGCAATCAAGCATCCTAGTTACTCGAATATTAATTACGATAATGATATTGCACTTCTTAAACTGAAAGGTGCTATCAAGTTCAAAGGTTCGATGCGACCTGCTTGTCTTCCGGAAAAAGGTATTTCTTATAAAGTTTACGCATCTCTATACACAAATAATAATAAAGATTTTATTGAAAAATTATGTTTATTTGTTAAATGATCGATATCAAGTATTTTAGATTTTTAAAAATAGACTTTAAAGAATTAGAAAAATAATTTAAATTTAAATGATAGATTACGAATTAATTATTTTTTTTAGCAAAAACTTTCGCTGGTAAAAAGGGTATAATAATCGGATGGGGTGCTATTAAGGAAGGTGGTCAGGTATCGTACACTTTACAAGAAGTTTTTATTCCTATTCTTTCAAATGCAGAATGTCGCGCTACGAAATATCCAGCATCCAAAATAACCGATAACATGATATGTGCGGGTTTCAAGGAGGGTGGCAAGGATTCCTGTCAAGTAAACAAAAAGTCACATTAATTTTGAATAGTATAAGGAAGTAATATTAAAATATCAGTTATTTTTAAATCATTTATCTTAAATAATTAAATATAAATTTTATAGTATATGTTTTTAAATATAAAAAAACATTATATTTTAATTATGTAAATAATTGATACAATAAAAATATGACAAATAATGCATGAAACAAATAAAAATATCAGGGTAGATGTCTAGCATATTTTTAATAAATATAAAAACATTGTAAAAAATATTAATTTTTAAGAAAAATAACAATATAAATTCTCACATTGTAGGGAGACAGCGGTGGTCCGATGCATATAGAAGAGAACAGTGTTCATCAGGTAGTTGGTAAGTTCAGCTTTAAATTGTATTAATTATTTAATACAGGCGACACGAAATATCGTAAAATTTGAAAAAATTATAAAATGTAAGAAGACATTTAAAAAAAAACTTGGAAAACCAATCTCACCCAAGAGAAAAGATAAATAAAAAGACTAACTTTACAGGAGTGGTATCCTGGGGCGAAGGATGCGCGCAATCCGGATATCCCGGGGTTTATGCCAGAGTAAATCGATACCTGACATGGATTAAACACAACACAAACGATGGCTGTTATTGTTGATATATATTTTTTATACATATATAGACTGATATATTTATTTTAGTTAATTCATTATTTATATAACGGTAAAAAATATGCAAGCTACAAAAACAATCAATAAAGCATACAATAAGATGTACATTGCAGTTCATAATTCTTACTGAATGAGATTAAGGATTTATTACATCATATGATAATTATTTAACATATATTTATTTATTTCTATTATATACATAAATGTACGTAATGTTTCACAACTGTATATATAATGTACGATACGCTCTGTGTCATTTTTATCATGTACACGAATTATATACACACATTGTGTATTCAATGATTAAAAATTGAGGCACGTGCGCCCTTCACTTTGGTTAATATTCATAATATAGAATGTATAAAGAAAGAAAGTGACAAGACTTTCTCTGTTTTTCGCAATCAGACGACTTGGAATTCGACTTGAAAACTCATATATATATATATATATACATACATTGCATATATTTGTAATGTTGTTTACATCACGCAATAAATAATAGATGCAATTTAAAATAGATATACACATTGTGCATTTTGTTATTCATATATATTATTGATATGTATGTTATTGATATATTAAGGTCAATTTTTAATTAATTTAAATACAATGTGTGTGTGTGTGTGTGTGTGTGTGTATATGTAATAATTATTTAATGACAATTATTTTTTTATAACTATGTTTTATAACTACGTAATTTTGTTTACTGTACACAATTAATGCATATGTATATACATTAAGAAATTGTCAACATAGCTTGATTCCTTTTTAATAGATAAAACATATACTAGTATTTCATAGCAGTTACAGCAATAGCGTGGATTTTATTTAATTCATTATTAAAGTACTCTAGATACTAGTAACTAAAAGACCTTTAATTTCGACGGTTTTATCATTTGATATTTCTTCCTTCATTTCATTATTTGCCGTTGATTCCAGCCAATACGTCTCCATATTTCCTTTTCCCTTTATATAATAAATGAAATATAACTCCGTACAGATATACATGATATATAACGTATGATTGATTAATACATTTTCATAATACAAACCTTTATCTTAACAACTCCACGTGATTCGGTATGATAACGTCCTTTTGGTAATAAAGCTTTGGTGCTAGAAGAAATATGCACCTTTCCCGGCTACGCCATACAATGTAATTAAATAGTGTGAAAATAAAAGAATTTAAAAGAGAAAATACAACAGATTTGTAAGGTAATAAATTTGTTAATGGTAATA